GGGTTTCACCATGTTGACCAGGATGGTCTCGATCTCTTGACCTCGTGATCCACCCGCCTCGGCCTCCCAAAGTGCTGGGATTACAGGCGTGAGCCACCGCGCCCAGCCTCGGTTCCCTTTATCTTAACCTTGTCATATGGGTGCGATGTTTTACTGTTCTCTGAGGACATGAGTTACATTTCTCTTGAAAGACTCACTTTCTCAGCTGGGTGTGGTGGCCAACGCCTGTAATCTGAACACTTGGGGAGGCTGAGGCGGGAGGATTGTGTGAGGATGAGTTCGAGACCAGCCTGGGCAACATAGTAAGACCATCATCTTAACAAAAAAATAAAAAATTAGCCAGGCATGGTGGTACACACCTGTAGTCCCAGCTACTCAGGAAGTTGAGGTGGGAGGATCACCTGAGCCTGAGAGGTCGACACTGCAGTGAGCCATGATCACGCCACTGGCATTCCAGCCTGGGCAACAGTGTGAGACCCTGGCTCAAATAAAAGAAAAACTCCTTTTCCTGTGCTGTTTCCTCAGGACTCTTGTGTTTGTTTGGGGTTCTGTCTTTTACGTGATGGGCTTTCCTTACCTGTCCCTTCGCATTAATAGTGCCATACTGAAAGGGTGCCTGGCCGCTGAATGTGGGGACAGGCCTTTTGGCCTGGAGAGGCTCAGGAGCTGTGGGAAGGTAGCTTGCCCTCAGAGGACTCCTCAGCCTCATGCATAGCTGCAGGCAGGACAATGGGAAGAGCCAGTTGATAAGTAGAGTGTCCTTTGACCCCTGTGGCTTCACTTTGGTGTCACACCCCCAGTCTCAACTGTGCCACCTGTCCCTGAGTATAGAGCAGCTTGGCTGCTCTATACAAAGAAAGGAAGAAGAAAGAGAGAAAGAGGGAGGAAGGGAGGGAAGGAAGGAAGGAGGGAAGGAAGGAAAAAGAAAGAGAGATGCTCATTGAAGTATTTACAATTAAAAGAATATGATTTTGACCAGCGCAATGGCTCACGCCTAGAATCCCAGCACTTTAGGAGGCCGAGGCAGGCGGATCACGGTCAGGAGATCGAGACCATCCTGGCTAACGTGGTGAAGCCCCGTCTCTACTAAAAATACAAAAAATTAGCCAGGCGTGGTGGCCCACACATGTAGTCACAGCTAATTGGGAGGCTGAGCCAGAAGAATCCCTTGAACCCAGAAAGTGGAGGTTGCAGTGAGCCGAGATTGCGCCACTGCACTCCAGCCTGGGCAACAGAGCGAGACTCCATCTCAAAAAAAAAAAAAAAAAGAATGTGATTTCTTGCATTTGCCTTAAAATATTCCAGCCCATTCCCAAAGAAAAGCGTGTGTGCAGGGAAGGGGAGGATAGACAGAACGCAGCTGACGAAATACTGATACTCATGGTAGGTAGGTCATGGGTACATGGGGTTCATTGTTCTAGTCGTTCCACTTCTGTTTTGTTGAAAATTTCCATAATAAAACAAAAACAAGCTGTCACACATAAATATATGGCTTCCGGACTTTTCCTCCCTGACACACAGAAGCACAACTCAGCTCCTTTGAGACATTTGTTTCTGAACAGAAGCCATCATTAACTAGGAACACTTCAAAAAACAAAACTCTTGCTCTGGATTTCAAACTGCATATTAGTAGCTTTGTCCTTCCCTGTGGCAGTCTGACGCTGTTACCGAGATGGGGTCCTGCTGGTACATCACAAGCACCTTCTGAGGCCCTCATTCTGATGAGAGTAGGGAAATCACAAATCCTTTCCTGCCTTGGCCTTGGCCTGTGACATTTGCCCGGTGTTTCCCAGAGAGTTTTCACAGGATACGATACCTTAAAATAGTCCAGGAAAACAAATAGATAAATGTTTGAGAGTTATTATGCTCAATGAATTGTTTTCGTTTTAAGACAGGGTCTCTCTCTGTTGCCCAAGCTGGAATACAGTGGCGTGATCATGGCTCACTGCAGCCTCAACCTCCCAGGCTCAAGCAATTCTCCCACCTCAGCCTCCTTATGCGTAGCTGGGATTACAGGCACACACCACCATGCCCAGCTAATTTT